AGACCGCATCGAACCATGAAATAGCAAATTACAATCATATGAGATCAGGCCGAGAAGCGGCTGAGTCAAACGGAAGCTTATAATAAGAGGAATATAAATACATGAAATAGTTACTTAGTAGTCATACAATAAGAATATATTTACAATAACAATTCATAAATAAGCCGTGCCAGTTACCATTCACGTACTCTTCATCCGGACATAGCACCAGCGTCTGTATAAATTAGTACCGTCTAAGTAATTAGATCTTACAGGTCATTAATAATGATCATGACCAGGACTAAATTTAAGATTGTTCCTTCCGAAAATTACGATATGGAGACCCGTCAGATAGCACTCTATCTGCCTTGGTACTAACATTCTATTTTCCAGGTAGTTCTTAAGCTAAGATACAAATGAGTCAGTGAAACCCATATTTGCAACTCTCTCTACGAAAAGTACATACGATAATGTTGTTACAGGAAAACTGAAAATATTTGACCGACTAAGAACTTTTACACTGAATATTAATAATCTAACCGTGTTTTGGATGTAATTGTTTTATTCCACTTCTGAACTTGCATGTTTATATTTTTAACCTTGGTCATTGTTGTTTCCCTCTGTTTTTGATGGGTTTTTAAATTTTTTTCCTTGGTGTAAAAAAAATTGGGGTTGGGTTAAAATTGGTTCTTTTTTTTTTGGGGGTTAAGTTGGGGGAATTTGCTTTTTCTAAAAGGGCAGAAGCAAAATTGACGAAAGTGTTTGTTTAATCTTTTTTGAGAGTAAATTTTTTTTCGGACATTTTTTATGCAAAAGCTCTCTGGCCCCGTGCCCCTGTGTTAGGGGGGGGAGCGTACATCCCCAACATAATTTTTTTTTCTCATAATATTTGTCTTTTTTTCTCTCTCTGTCTCTGTATATCAACTACTAGAAGTTGATTACTTCTTATCATTATCCTTTTGAGAGGAGGGTTGCATTGTTCAAAAAACAAATCAAAACGTCAGAAAGTTATTGAAAAAAATAAATTAACATGAATAAGAGAGACACAAGGTGACACGGCAACACCAAATGAATGCTGATCTGTATTGCGTGGTCTTTCTTTTTAACTTCTGTTTTTTATGATCACCCTTCCTCCTAAAATGTTCGTCAAGGGTGATTTGTTGTGTTGTAACAGGATGGATAATTGGAATGAATGGGATCAGTGCTACAACTGGTAGTAATGGAGAAGGGAAAAACCAGTGAAACAAATATTCAAAAACCAAAAAATATGAAAAAAGACTATAAACAAAAAATAAAACTCATTTAATTTGTTTTAATTTGTTAAACATAGCGTTATTAATCTAATTATTAATTAATTTTTTTTATTTATTAATTATTATGGATCATTAACAGCTTTAGATTCATGCTGTGGAAACATCCAACAAACAACCACCAAAATTACACTCAAAAAGATAACAGAAACGAAGAAACATAAGTGAAGTATAGTTTTCATATTTATCTTCCATCATTTTCTACACTTACTTAATAATAATATTCAATTATAATTTTCTTATTTTTCCATTTCTCCCGATCCTTCCAAAACAAAACAAAATAATATAAAATAATGTAAAATTTATGGTGAGATTAAGCTGTAAAAATCGCATTATAAGATCATATACAATAGTCATACATTTATGGCTACATACTTAATGTACTCTTGGAGATGAAAAAGAAACCAAAAAGTTAACGAAGATTTATGGTTTTGTTGTTATGCTTGTTATTTCTGATTTTTTACAAAATGTTTACCATAGTAACCTATGTAAATCTTAAAAATTAATAAAATTATTTCTTCTTTTTTTGTTTTTTTTTTAATATTAAATATATATATATATATATCACATAAACACACATGTGAATTTGATATTGAATCAATTAAAAAAAATAATATAAGATAAATTATTATTTATATTTTTTATATAATTAAATATTAAAACTTACTAAAAAATAAAAAATTCCAAATTATACCACTTTTCTAACTTGTTTCAAACTTTAATTTTAATTTTTTTTAAATTTTTTTTTTTTTATTTTTTTCTTAGTATATTTTTATGGCGTTTATAGGTTTTCATCATTTATTATTTTTATTTTAAATTTTTTAAACCCCAAATATTCATCAACACATTTATAATATTTTATTTATTTCTGATTAGTCATTAATTATATAAATAATACTAAAAAGTAATATAATAAGAAATGAATCTCATTATAAATTCACGTATTTTTTGATAAAGAGAAGAGTTAAATATAAATCAAAAAAAAATTTAAAAATTAAATAAATTATTTAATGAATCTGAATAAAAAACTATCAATTATACAACTATAACACCATAAAACCCAAAAACCATATTTACATCTTCAGCCCAATTCACATCTCTAAACCGATATAGACTTCGACTAACAAAAACAAAAGATAAACAAATAAAGACTCAAGATAGTAAACAACAAAATGTGTACAGACCTTTCTTCCCCACCGTTATTTTGTATGTGTTTTATTGTTGTTACTTGTCTTTACGCACTATTCTACTTTTTAAAATAATGTATCTAGTTATTAAAATAGATGTTACCTACATATATTTTTTAGTTCTCTCTTGTTTGTCTATTATAGGATGTTGATCTACGAAAGTAGAGAAATTAGCCGTAGGACTGTGTAAAACAAATAGGCAAATATACATTCTAAACATACACCCCATTCATTCAACTCCACTCTTCATGACCCACAATGCTCACATTTTTTACTCACAACTATTCTTCAAAATTAATTGCCCTTATCTTGGGCCTAAATGGCCTTTTTTTGGGCACTCCCGTCGCTACTGGCTAATACCATTTTAACTCTAAACAGAGTTCCCACCCCTCCTTTTTTTTTTTTCTCTTTTTTTTGTCTGTGTTGTTGTTGACATTTGGTGAGTCGACTCTCATTGTTTTTTTCTTCTTCGCGCTTTTTTTTTTTTCTAGATCACATTTTTTATATTCACTATATTTAACATGACAACAATATATAAACTTTTTAAATGTGAAAATTTGTAATATTTCATTTTTGCCCAAAAAAATTTTAATTTTTTTTGCTAATTTTTATTTTGTTTTGTATTTGTTTAATATTTTTTATTGTTGTTTTTTCTTTTTCTTATTTTCTTTTTTTTCATCTTGCTTTTTTTTTGGCGCCCCACCTGTTTGTTTCCCCCTTCACACAACATTAATTTTTTTTTTTAATTTGTCTACTTAGACACCCTTTCCCCCGGTCTCACCTGTGATTTGTGGGTGGGCGCCTGGTGGGTCTTTTTTTCTGTTTTTGCATTTTCAGGAGTTATTATTACCTATTTCTTGGTGATATTTTAATAACTCTCTCCCTCTATTATGCCTTTTTTTCCTGCTCTTCTCCTCTGTATTTTTATTTACTCACATTTTTTTTTTTAAAAAAACCTTTTTTTTGATAATTCTTTTTTTATTGTTGGAGTTTTATTTTTTAAAATTTGTTTTTTAAATATTTTCATGAAAATGTTGTCCCCCCAAAATTTACGCGTCCCCAAATAAAAAAACCCCAATCCCCCAACAACAACCTTCCCCCCTCCTTTTTGCGGCAAAAAAACTCCTTTGGAGTTAATAAATAGGGAAAAAGAAAGATGTCAGAATGTAAAAAAAAAAGGGTGCCCAAACAAAACTCAGTTGTGTTCATATATTTTTGTTTTAGAAAAATAAATATTCATATTTTATAAATTTTTTTCTCGTAGATATTATTTGTTTGAATAACTTGATATTGGAAAAAAAATTATTTTTTTTTTATCCGAAACCCTTTTTATCAATTCTTTTTTTAAAAAGAGTTTTTATTTTAATAAAGGAGTTTTTTTTTTTTAAATTAATTTTTTGTTTTTTTAATATCTTGAAGACGATAATAATAAACATGAATGATAGATATTATATAGAAAAAGAAGTAATATTTTGTAAAAAAAAGAAAGATATTTACAGTTATCAATAATCACGCCGTCGAATAATTTAAAGACAATACAGGGGTTGTTTTTCCATAGGAAGGTTTTTTACTGCCAGGCAGTATAATTTTCTGAGTGATATATGTATCAATGAATTTTTTCATATATTTTGATTGGAGTCAGTCAGTAAAAGCTTTCTACTCACTCTTAGTTTTCTCACTGAAATAGAAGGTTGTGTTTGCATATTAGAAGCTTGTTTGTCAATAAAAAATTAGGACAGGTGTCGAAAAACAACAGTTTGTCACTGTATTTTTAAAATCAGTATTGGTGAGAAATGTAGACTGTCAGAAGTAAAATGCATTAATTTTTTTACTGACGTTTAGAAGTCAGATAAAAATGTCTCATAGATATTTGCTATCTCAAAGCCCCTTCTGATACTAGTCAACGTATGCTTACTAGTAAGTGACTTCAAGAGGTATATCTTGAAGTTCTAATGACAATGGAGTTCAACCGGGTCTTTTGTGAGATAGTAACTCACTGAAGACTTTAATGGGTCTGTCGCTCAATTTCGTGTATTAGTTGAAGTTGGACATTAACACCTTTGGATGCCGGCCAGCTCAATGGTCTAGATGTTAAGCGTTCGTGCGAGACCAATAGGTCCTGAGTTTGAATCTCGCGAGGTGGGATCTTGGATGAGCACTGCTGAGGAGTCCTACAATAGGACCAAACGGCCATCCAGTGCTTCCAGGTTTTCGATCGTGGTATAGCTTCAATTGACCCCTGATCTGAACTATTGAAATTACTACAATCTCCACAAGACCCCTTCTGATACTAATCTAAAATTAAACTAAAATGTCTACAATTATTTAGTCATCTGAACTAGAATTCATCAAAATTCTGTCAAGGATTCGTTGTGTATACTTAAGTAAAATTAACCATAATCGTAAAAACCTCATTTCATGTTCATAGAATGTGTTACTTTTCTGTTGACTTATGATAACCTATTTTGTGTTGCAAATTATCATATAAACTACTGTTTTCAACCTTAGCAATATCTAGAGTATATTATTATACACAATTTGAATTATATTAAAGTAATAGTATACTCTTTTGAATTGATGATAGTAATACATGCATTAATACGGTGTATATCATCCAAATTTAGAAATTGAAATGTATTATGTTAATCATGATGTAAACTGTTTACTACGTGAACGTATATTGGCCTATGAAATTCTGTTGTACATTCACCGATTGTTTTAGTCACAGTGGATTGATTTGAAAGTTCATTATCTACTAACATTGATTTTTTATAATTGTCCAAGATATTATCTTTCTCGATCATATCTTTATTATCTATATATTCTTTATTCATTTCAATTTCACTAGTATCTTTTATTAAAACTTGTCCAATAAAATATGATTTAGTTGTTTTCATACATTTTTTTAGAGTTTGAATTGATTGGATTGTATCAGTTGTATTAATTGAAGAGCTATCCAGTTTTTCCATTACAATTGGTGTATAGATATATCTATCTTTATTAATATCAATACTAATTGGTCCTTCTGATTGATAATTCAATTCATGATTAAAAGACATAATTTCATATTCATCATTATTTTGTGAAGATGCATCCATTAAGTTTCTATGATTAATTTGATCATGTTTATTGCATTCCTCATTGAAATCAATTTCTCTATAAATGTGTTTAGTTTTATCTAGATCAAATGGATTATGACCTGATTGCAACTGAAACTTTTCATGGTTTGTTTGGTCAAATTGAACATTATTTAGGGATAAATATTCTTCTTTGTCATGATTGATTTCTGAGCAAGTAGTTCTATCATGCTTTGTAAAATCTATCATTTTACTATTATTCCTGGAGATAATAGGAATTTTTTCTAATAATTTTATTATTTCATAATATTTATTCTTATTTTTCATAGTTCTCCACTTGGATACTTCGAATTTTACACTTAAAGCTTTTTCTATATCATTAACTTCATTTTCTTGGTGTTGAAGTTTGTTCAAATGTTCACAATTCATATTACATTGTACATATACATTGTGTTTTAATGGATTTAAATAACTTTGAACATTGTCAATTAATGGTGTAAAGTTTGATTGTGACTGACCATTATTTATATTGGATGACTGAATCATTAGGACAGAATCTATTTCAAATTTATCAATTGGAGATGTTAAACAACTGATTGAATCTTGAATGTTAGTAGTATTATGTTGTTCTTGAAATTTTTGTTTATTATACGAAATAGATTTAGTATGAAGTGAATCAATTGATGTTTTGGATAGAGATGAATCATTTTGTAGTATACTTGGATATTCTAGTGTTTTGAAATATTCTATTGTACAACTATTGTTTAAGTCGCTAAGTATCGTTTTATTCGAATTTTCACTCATGTTGTCTTTTAGACTTTCATCAAATTGTTTATCACATTGAAGAAATAGTTTGTAATCATTTGCTTCTTTATACTCACATGAATTATCATTGTTATTTAAAGTATCATAAGGTTCCTCTCCTTCCACGGTATTGTTTACCTTAAGTTTATTTTGTTCCAATTTGAAACTTTGTGTTTCATTATTCATTATATCTGTAATAATGAATACATAAGAAATATTTCTGAAACATTTGTTAATAATATCAGTTAATTTAAGCAAAGTTGGATGATGGCTAGTAGTGAAATTCAGGACTTATGTTTCATTCTACTTAAGAATTCACCAGTTAAATGTACCTGAGTTCAAGTATTGTTGTTCTAGTGTGTTTTACCAACAAAATAGTCTATTCAGTCAATAAATTTCTATCGTTAATTATGTGAAAGAATATTTATTCTAACAACTTGAATTCATAAATAGTTTCAGTATTTTGTGTTGAATCAACCAGTAAGCATTAACTCGACATTCATATTAAAATCTCGTAATAAATATATGTATATATAAATAAGAACTTTCGCCTAAATTTGATAGAATAGTTTCACAGTATTTGGGCGCCGAGTTGATGTCAGACATTAAAGAGGGAGAATGTATCTGTAAAATCTCAGCGTACGAATTTTGAAGTAAATCCAATGTTTCGTCTAACAATCTGGTCCAAACTATTTCAAGGGAATATAATCAAACATCAAAATTATCGAATATAAATAGGTACATGGTTTTCCGGTTGACTGTATACTGAATAGGTCATCCAATCAACGTTATCAATGTTTAAAGTAGGTATTTACATTAGTGTGTAAGTGACATGTGGTGTGAAACGAAAAGTGTTAAGATAGCAGATTGTGTGTATACGTAAGTGAGAGGAAATTTCATTCACTATATATTGTCTCTGGTCGGTGAATTTTAAGGAAACATACAATTTATGCAATTTATATGTATGATATGAATCAAAAATGTCACAGCATACATAAAATGAACATAAATAAACATGATAAACGAATTAATCCAAAGAGGAAGAGTGTATTTGCAAATGAATGTTTAGGTTATTTTAATATTCCAGTTATTTGTTTAACATATTCAGATAAAATAACTGAATAGAATCGTTGAATGTAATTTCTGTTATTCAGATAATATGAGATAGACTAAATGGAATAAGGAGTTTAGGTCTACCTATTAATTATTAGTTGCCATGGCACAGCTAATTGTATTCCATTTCTCACATTAATACTGTTTGGATTTTTCCCATATGTGTAGGGCTTCAGCTGTTGGTCGGTCTTTGTAAGAACTAAACCCTTTCCGAAAGATTCTTGTGCCATCGAAATCAATTGTATGACTCGATTCTATCGAATGTAATGCTATCGCTGATTTATTCTCGAATTTTCTTACATCGTCTGAGGTTTTAGGAATGGGCTTTAGGCATAGTTTGTGTTCTTTCATCCTCACATTCGATTGCCTTGATGTTTCACCTACATACATTGCATTACAATCACTACATTTGATTTCATAAACACAACTTTCCTGTTCCTCCTTGTGTATTGGATCTTTGATTCTTATTGCTAAGCTACATTTTTGGGTTAGATTGTAAAAGTGATCTTGTATATATGAATATATAGTTATTTGAGAAGTTATTCATGTACCTCTTCTCTTATATATTTAACGACCACTTCTCAATGATAATCGCTTCCATTGTATAACAAACACTCTTCTTCTAACAAGTGATAAGTATATGAATTTTATATTGTGCTTCAGTTTTTAGTATAAAAAGATTCCTAAAGGAGGTTTATCTTTATACTGGTGCAAAATTAAAATTCCAAGGTAATTTATCAATTTGAAAATATATTTATACATGACAACCATATGTGAAACATTCTCAGTTTTACATTGATTCAGAGATCATATCAATCTGTGCACTTTTTAAATGTATTTAAAAGATGAATCAATTTATAAACCAATTTATGTAGACTTACGTTCGTCATTATCATCGTCTTCAACTTTATCTAGATAATCTCATCGTAATAGAGAAACTTTCGACTTGATAACTTTTTATGGTTGATCAATTGAATGAACCATTTCATCATTAATATCATTACTATGTCTTCTGAATTACGTGGAACTTAAAGGATTGGCAAGATTGATGTAGTTTTGATTGCCAGTTTCAAAAAGTTTCTTTGTAATTTTACCATGGATATTAATTCCTGTAGAAGGTATAATAGATCCATTTCATTTCTATTCTTTCTAAATACGTACTACTAAACTGCCTACACATAAATTTTAGTGACCAATGAGTGTATATGTACTATACTCGTTGACAATGTAAACTGGACCACAATTGGCAAAAAATTTATTGGATTGACCAAAAATGTCATGTATTAGAAATATGAAGAGTTTAACAAAATTATATTATTTCGATCAGGTTAGTGATTAATTTATAAATTAATTAGTTATGTAAGAAACGTCGATGAGTCCCGTTTTTGTCCTATTTGCGACTCGTTGTATGGATATACCTAAATACCGTTGCTGATGTTCACAGTGAGACTCGAACCCAGAACTTCAAGCTCCAAACACTAACAATGACTCTTTTTTCGGTGTTGTTTTCTCGTTGTCTTCATCCATTACAGATGATTACAGAATATTCCTCTATCGGTTGCTCATTCAGTAAGTATCTTAAACCATTGTCAGTCTAATTTGAGGTTTGGCAACATAATCATGCATGCAAATCATCAGTATAAGCAGTTGAGCAAGCCTTCTGCAAACTGAAAACACTGTTGCATTTAACTTATCACTGACTAAGGTCCAAGCCATTATCGTATACATAAGTTCTGAGTTTTGCTCCCCTTGGTTACCACTTATGTTCTTTCTGATAATCATATGAGAATCACTCACTGTAAAGATTTATTTAGCCGGAGGCATCGTGCAACACTACATCACCCATGTTTGTGGCACACGGGCTTTGTCGATTTCAACAATTTTTAATCACTCTATTTCGAACACGTTGTTTTCTTACTTATGCGAAACTCGGTACTTGCAACTAACTTGTATGCTACATCAGCCGGTAGATATGAATACAAATAACATTGAGTCTAGAGCTGTAAGATCCATTTTGAATGTTTTGTGTGTTTGTGAAAATCCCTCCATGTATATACTTGTACTTTGTTCCTATTGATCCCCTTAGTTGTACATTGTTGTCTTTTGATTACATTTGAATTGTTAATACTTGTATTTTTCATTATAGTTTTTGTTTTTCTTACGCATTCACTAAGTTTGTGTTTCTTCCCGAACTGCAGTCAGGATAGAATAACGTTCATTTGTTGTGACTGGTAATTTTCTCTCATCTTTCATCAACTACTTTATTTATTGTAATTTAGATTTTATTGATTGAACAATTATTGGTTGAATAGCCGGGTGGCATTATTTGTTTAGGTCACGATTTACATTTAAATTTATGATGAATTAGAGAACCGCTATTTACCCGATTACTTGTTTTGATTTCGACGGGAAAGGGCGCGTGTCTAACGTACCTGGAAGGCTATTCAGCAGTCCAAACCGTAGTTTGGATCTTACAAGAGCATCTATCTCACGAATACACTCATGTTTAACGAATTGCTTTTAGCCATCCGTCCAAAATGCACAAAATTACCACTATTTTTACTTAAAAGAATCTTTGAAAACCATTCATATGTATAAGTATCATTCCTAATAATGATGTCGAGAAAATCTCCGCGTAACGAAATAAACCTTATCAAACCTAAAAAACTAACTGAAACGCTAGTTGGAATTTTTCATCTCCATGGTTATACTTTTGTTTTCTCAGTCGGTCTACTAATGCAGATGCAAATAAAAATCAACTTGTACGGATATCATACGAATATGGACGTTAACTGACTATCTAATCAATACTAAAAATAATACCAATATGAACACTTCTATAACACTGATTATTCTACAATTTCTTGGTACAGATTACTTATACCGCCTACAACTTGAGCCATTAACCAAGTGTTTAACTATGCATTTTAATGAGACTTATTAAAATAACAGGAAATCATTCTTAATCATTATAATTCCACTTTGCTCAAATCCTAAATAATGACGTGAATTTCTATTTTCCGCGTGCTAAGAATAAAACCAAACATTTTGAAATTACTATATGCATTTCTCAACCAGTTGCTGCCTTCTTTTTCTGATTTACCTTTCAACTTATCTATACCGGAAGGATTCTTGTTATTCTTTTGGTAACCTTCAACACGCGACAATCCCACTCAATTCGGTGTCAAATCAACGTCACGTTGATTCTGGTGGGAGAGTAGTGTAGTGGCATTGGACCTTAACCATGCAACCTTTGAAGCCAAGCATATAATAACCGAAAAGTCTTATATTCAACAATCAAGACAAAGAGGAGGTTAACTATAGAGAACACGAGAACAATAATTTAATCAATCAGATGGCATGACTCAACCTTGCAGGCATAGTCATTTTTGTGTAACTTATCTCTTTTATAAATGTTAAAAATATTGTTCTATTTCTAATCTAACTGTCTTCTCCATCATATATTGGTGATTTTTATGATGAGTCAGTGTAGACAATGATGTGACTTCCACGTAAGATCCTAAAGATTAGGTAGTCACATCATGTCTATTATTAGAGCAGTAATAATAACGAAGTATACCAAAATTCTACATGTGTAACTGTCTTCCTTTACGAATCGTTTTTAAGACGAGTGAAGTAATAGAATTAAGAACTAAATTTGCGAAGCTGTGACATTAGCACCATCGGTTGCTAGTAAACACTGAAAGACTTCTTAGATAGTAGAGAGTTTGCTCAGCGAATTCAGAAGTATGTATTTCCTCCATCTAGTTACACCAGGCTGTGCCATCAGCGGGCTTCTCAGTTTTCCGTGGAATCGTTCGACTACTCCATTGTCTGCTAAATGACATGCTGTTGTATTGAGGTGATAGGTGTGGAAAATGAATGTAAATTCGCTAGAGAGGTTCGACTGAATTGTAAACCTCTGACGAAGGTAACCGTAGAAGGCACATCTCTCTAGGGATACGGCAGCAATATTTTCTGTTGAGATTTCTTTTACCGGGCACCCCATTGGCCGCCCGGCAAAACAGTCTTCTACAGTAAAGATGTAAGTAAGACCGTCATATGAAACCAAAGAACCAACTAAATCGAAATGAATATGCTGAAAACGAGGATGGGGTATACTGAATATTGGCGGTGATGTAATTATTGACTTAGGAATTTCGCTGCACCGATATTGAAAGCAGTTTCTGGTTCACTGCTTTATATCCGGGTTAATTTTCGGCCAAACAAATCTTTCTGAGGCCTGTCTCTCGAGAGAACGGACTCCTGAATGAGATAATAGGTGAAGACGATCAGGAACGCTCTTCTTGTACACTATTGACACAAAAAATGTTTCCCTGTCGTAGTATTATGAAATTATGGTCTAGGCCAGTATTAGTACATTTATCTTTCGTACTAGAACAACGGACCTAACCCCAAAATTGTAGATTTGTCATAACGTGTCTTCCCAATCTATAAGATCTTACTTGGAAGTCTCGTCATTGTTTATACTGGCTCATTGTATCGTGACATTCAACATTATAGTGTTTAGCACTTCTGAAGGACATATTTGGTCTAGGGATATAATAATATGCCTG